CTATCAGAGGGAAATAGAAAGTGGTGTAAGAAGTTCCCTGTACTCATCACCCACTTTAACAGTTAAAAACTTTTTATTTCATCTGCTCTTTCCCTCAGTCTCTGTCTACCTGCAGCCTCCCAGGTTGCTTTTTTTTTTTCAGATTTTAAAAACTTTTATTTTTTTTAATTTTAATTTTAATTTTTTTAACATTTTTTATTGAGTTATAATCATTTTACAATGTTGTGTCAAATTCCAGTGTAGAGCACCATTTTTCAGTTATACATGAACATACATACATTCATTGTCACATTCTCTTTCACTGTGAGCCATTCTCAGGTTGTTTTAACAGATTCTGACATTTTTCATCCTAACATCGTATCATTCCATCTATGTAATATTTTTGTGTGTATTTCTAAAAGGTAAGTTCTCTTTTTAAATGCACAACCAGAATACTATTATCACACCTAAAAATTTTAATAATACATCTCTATTATTTTCTGTTATCCAGTTAATATTTAAATTTCCCAGATTGTTAAAAAAATATTTTTTAGGTTTTTTTTTTTTTCTTTTGAGACAGAATCCACACAAGGTATGTATTTGGCATTTTGGTTGATATATTTTGGTCTCATAAAGTGGATTCTCCCTAATCTAAAAAGGCATATGTTTTCCATTTTGCTTTCTATTTTTAGGGACTGATTTTTTTAGATTTTAATCTTGTTTTATAATTATGTGAAACGTTTACATGATCCAGAGTCAAATCTACAAAGCAAGGTTCATTCAGAGAAGTCTAACTTCTCTTCCTGCTGCCTCCAACCTTTTCCTTCCTTCTCCAAAGAAAATCATTAAGAATTTTTCTTAGTTTTATTCATCATTTAAAAAAAATAGAAAAATCTATTTGTATGCACACTCCCCACATTTAAAGGTAGAATACCTTACACACTTCTTCACCTTGCACTTTTCACTTGGGTGTTCATCCCATAGCAGTATATAGTGACGTTGTCTGTTCCTTTTTACAGCTGCAAGCTGCTTTATTGTGAGGATGTACCACATTTGTTTTTATTGTGGAAAAAACACATAATATAAAATTTACTATCTCAACCATTTTTAAGTATATAGTTTAGTATCGTTAAGTATATTCACATCATGTGAAACAGCTCCAGAAATTTTTCATCTTGAAAAACTGAAACTATACCTTATAAACAATAAGTCTCCTATTCTCCCCCTTCTCATCAGTGCCTATAATTACCATTATACTTTCTGTTTCTTTGAATTTGACTTCTCTAAATTTCTCATATAAGTGGAATCATATAGTTTTTTTCTTTTTGTGACTGGCTTATTTCATTTAGCATAATGTCCTAAAAGTTCATGCATGTTGTAGCATGTGACAGAATTTCCTTCCATTTTCAGTTTAAATAATATGCCATTGCTCGTTTATGAACATTCTGTTTTTCCATTCATCTATTGGTGGTTATTTGGCTTACTGCTACCTCTTGGCTATTGTGAATAGTGCTGCTGTGAACATGGGTGTACACATACCTCTTTGAAACTTTACTTGTAATTCTTTTGGATAAATACCCAGAAGTGGGATTATTGGCTCATATGGTAGTTCTATTTTTGATTTTCTGAGGAATTGCCATACTGTTTTCCATAGTGGTTGCATCATATCATATAAATCCCACCAACTGTGCACAAGGGTTCCACTTTTTCCACATTTTCATCATTACTTGTTATATTCTGTTTGCTTTGTTTTTGATAGTAGCCATCCTAATGGGTGTAAGGTGGTTTTGATTTGCATTTCTCCGATGATTAGTGATGTTGAGCATCTTTTCATGTACTTCTTGGTAAGTTCTTCAGAGAACTTTGTACATGTCCTTTGCTTGTTTTTTAATTGAGTTATTTTATTTTTTGTTGTTGAGTTGTAGGAGTTCTTTGTGTATTTTGGATATGAATCCATTATCAGACATATGATTTGCATATATTTTCTCCCATTCTTTAGGTTGTTTCTTCACTCTGTTGATTGTGTCTTTTGAGTCACAGAAGTTTTTAGGATTGATTTAATTCCATTTGTCTATTTTTGCTTTTGTTGACTGTGCTTTTGATATGATATCTAAGAAATCATTTCCAAATCCAATGTCATGAAGCTTTTCTGCTGTTTTTTCTAGGAGTTTTATAGGTTTGGCTCTTACATTTAGGGCTTTAATCCATTTATTTATAATCCAAATATTTGTAATTTTTATATATTCTTTCTAAATTTACCCTCTTATCATTATATAATGACTATCTTTGTCTTTTATAACAGTTTCTGACTTAAAACCTATTTTGTCTGATATTACAGTAGCTACCCTTGCACTCTTTTGGGTGTGATTTGTATCCCAAAAGATCTGCATCTTTTTCCATCCTTTCACTTTCAGACAATGTGTCCTTAGATATAATTTGAATCTTTTGTAGACAGCATATTGTTGGATCTTGTTTTTTTAATCCATTTATTCAGACTAGGTCTTTTGAGTTGTGAGTTAAGTCTAATTATATTTAAAGTAATTATTGACAGGTAAAGACTTACTATTGCCATTTTATTCATTGTTTTCTATATAACTTGATAGTTTTGTTTGTTTGTTTCTCCTTTCCTCGGTCATTGCCTTCTTTTGTGTTTTATTTACCTTTTTGTAGTGTCATGGTTTGATTCCCTTCTCATTTCCTTTTGTGTATATTCTATGGATTTTTTTGCTTGTGTGTTTACTATTGCTATTACATAAAACATCTTAGTTATAACATTGTATTTTAAATAACAATTTAACTTCAGTTGCATTCAGAAAGTCTACTCCTTTACAGTTCTACCCCTGTATTTTGTTACTGATGTCACAAATTAGGTCTTTATATATTGTATACCTATTAACACAGGCTTCTAGTTTTTTAAAAAATGTTTTTATTTCAATTCTATGAAGAATTAAATTTATGCACCCAAATTATAATAATACAGGTTGCTATTTGTCCATGTAGTTTTCATTACCATTTTAAATTTTCTTCATGTTGCTGTCTAGTGTCTTCATTTCAACTTGAAGGACCCCTTTAGCATTTCTTACAGAGCACATCTAGGGGTAATGGCTCCTTCAGCTTTTGTTTTTCTGGGAGAGTCTTGATTTTCCTTCACTTTTGAAGGACTTATGCCATATATAGCATTCTTGGTTGACACCTTCTTTCTTTCAGCACTTTGAATATATCATTCCCACCCCTGAGAAATCTGCTGATAATCTTATGGAAGCCCCCTTATATGTGATGAGTCACTTTTCTCTTTCTGCTTTTGAGATTCTGTCTTGACAGTTTGATGATAATGTCTCAGTAGGAGTCCCTTTGGGTTTATCCTAGTTGGAATACATTGAGCTTCTAGAATTTTGTGTCCATTTTCTTTCCACAGATTGGTAAGCTCTCAGCCATTATATCTTCAAGTAATTTCTCTCTGCCTCTTTATTTCTGTATTCTCCTTCTGGGACTCCCATTCCTGGAAGTCTCTTAGGGAGCTTCACTTTTCTTCACTCTTTTCTTTTTCTTCCTCTAACTCGATGAGTTCAAATGACTTGTCTTTGAGTTGCTTATTCTTTTCTTCTGCCTGATGAAGTCTACTGTTGAAACTCTTTAGTGAACTTTTCAGTGCAATTATTTTATTTTCACACACAGATTTTGTTTTTTTTAAGTTTCCATCTCTTAGTTGACATTCTTATTTTGTCTATTCAAAGTTTTCCTATTTTGTTTATTTATTTGTGTTTCTTTTAGCTCACTGAACATCTCTGTGACAGGTTTTCAAATTCTTTGTCCAGCAGTTCATAGATAGGAATTTGTTGAGTGTCAGTTACTTGAAGTTTATTTTGTTCCTTTGATTGGGCTCTTTTTCCCGTGATTCTTGGTATGCCTTTTGATCTTTTGTTGAGATTTGGGCTTTTGAAAAAACCACTGCCTCCCCCAGTCTCTATGGGCTGTCTTCGTGCCTGGGAAGCCTTTCATCTATAAGCCCAGCTAGAGATTCTAAGACTTCCCAAAACTCTTCTGAGGAGATGCCTTTGAGCTTTTGTGTGCTGCTTTTACCTCAGGTTCCCTGCTCAACTTGCCCCTGTCTTCTCAGAAGCCAGTAATCTCTTGCTTCCTCTGGTGTTTCCCCAGGGAACTACAGCTCTAACATGCCATGTCTTTGCCTCTGTTTCCAGTGGCTTCCGAACTATATCACCAATACTAAGAGGTCCAAATCTGGTGAAACCGAAACTAGTGTCTAAGGCCGCCCCCAGATAAGCCAGAACACTGGGCGCTCAGGCCGCTCTCTCTGTTTCTGTCCGGAGGAAGGAGCCTGGTATGAGAGTTTTCCTCACTGTCACACCATGCTATGCCAGGTAGGGGGAGGGCCACAGATGGGTGTGTAGAATTCGGTGAATTTTCCTAACCCTTTTGGTGGAATCCCTCCTTGGTTTTATGGCCTGGGTGCTGCAGCTTCTCAACTGGTCTCTAGAGTTCTCACAAAGGTATTCTGATCCACATATTGTTTCTGAACAATATGTATTTCTGAAGCTTAGGACTGGACTGAATTGTAGATTTGGGAATCGGCATCATATAGATGGTAATTCAAGTGCGTGGAGCAAAGGAAAACATGTAGAATGAGAAGGAGGCCTCATATAGACTCTGCAGAATGCCAACATTAAAGAGGTGGATCAAAGGAAAATGACAGGGAGCATCCATAAAGGTGAGATGAAAACCAGAAAAATTTGTATCACCAAAGTCAAGAAAAGAGTGGTCAAATGAGGAAGGAGAATAATTTCTGACACTTAAATAGCAGTTACCATATCCCAGGGACTGTTGTGAGGATTTTTAGAAATCTTATAAAAAATTAATCCTTGCAGAAATCCTATGTAAGTTAGGTACTATTTTTATCCTCGTTTTATAGGTGAGAAAAGTGAGACAGGTCATGCAGCTAGCAATATATACAAGTATGTTCATTGCAGCATTGTTTATAATATCAAAAAATCAGACATGACCTAATATGTATCAGTTGGAGACTGGTTAAATTGTGGTTCATGGAACATAATGAAGCAGTTGAAAGAAAAAGGTAGGTCTGTATGTTTTGAAATGAAAGGACTCCATAATGTACTATTGAGTGTAAAAAGTTAGTCTCAGTGTAATGAGGGTTTTTTTTTTTTCAGTATATTTTTGTATGTCAACCAGTGTGTGCACAGGGAAGTGTCATGGAAGTGTCATGAAATTGTTAACAGTGGATATTTATGGGAAGTGAGCATCTCTTTTCATTTTTAATTAATATATTTAGCACAGCATAAAAAATCTTAAAGAAGATTCAGTTTAGCTATAAAATCTGGGAAAATTAAGTGGGTGAGTGTATTTTTTTAACTTACATAAAAATGAAGTACGTAGTCAGTTTTCCTAAGCTGAGATTTAGCAAAGCAATAAGGAATGATTCTAAGAAGATCAAGGGTATTTTATTTTATTTCTAAAGGTATTTTAATAGGGAAATTCAACTCAGATTTTAATGGGTTAAGGAATGAATAGGAGACAAATAATTTAAGATATTTTGTAAACAAAAGTATTAGTGCTGATACTTTCTAACTCCCTGTCAAAATAAAAAGATTAAAATTTTTTTTAAATTATAGGACAATAGAGTTCACATTGGACCAAAAATGGAAATTCGAGTTGTCACGCTAGGATTAGATGGTGCTGGAAAAACTACTATTTTGTTTAAATTAAAACAGGATGAGTTCATGCAGCCTATTCCAACAATTGGTAAGTATGAATATTGCTTTTTACCTTAATGGACATTTTACAGACAAACCCTAGCTTACAGCTAAGTTCTTGGGAGTCTTATTTCATGCCAGTGTGGTGGGGAGATAGGCTCTTAAGACAGCAGCATTTCAGAGAAAAAAATGCAAGATTCGTGGCTGTGGGATGAAATGTGGCTGGTGGGATAGTTAGAAGGAGCAAAACATTGGTTGATGGGATAGTTGGAAGAAATAAAGGATTGGTGACTCTGGCTGAGGTTTAAGGGTGAGGAGGTGGTAGTGGTACAGAGATGACATTTGGGTGCTCAAGGTCCTAAGGACTCTGATGGTTTAGAGGGCTAACCCTGGTTACAGGTATATGTTTCCCTATGTATGTTTATTAGGAGTGGAATCAGTTGGGCAGCAGTAGATACTGCTGTATGAAAATAATTTGTAAGTCACATTTATAAATGGGGTTGCCTGTGTTTGGTGTGTCACTTATTATAAATATACATTCAGTATTAAAGTAACTTTTTTTTGAAACAGGTTTTAATGTGGAAACTGTAGAATATAAGAATCTAAAGTTCACCATTTGGGATGTAGGTGGAAAACACAAATTAAGACCATTGTGGAAACATTATTACCTGAATACTCAAGGTAAGAGTGTAAAAATGACATCTTAATTTTTCACATTATTAGGATGCCAGTTTTCAGTAGTTTGGCTTATAAAGCTGATATTCTAGCATTGATTAAATATATGACTATACTTTTAAATATAAAAAAACTATACTTTTAAAAATTGGTAGCGAGCCCCACATTATTAGGAAAATTAAGGTGGAAATCCTGGATATGTACTCTGGTTTATTTCATGAAAAATTATAGCATTAAGGTAGTATTTAAACTATATATGTAGGCAGTTAACAGTATTTACCTCTTGTTGCTCTTAACACCTAAAGTATGTTATTACTGTTCATATGATTGATCGCTGGCAATATTGTGGTGTAGGGTAGAATTTGTGGTGTATAATTCTGTTTAATTCAGTTCAGTGCAACATTTATCTGATTATAATCTCTCAATAGCTCCACTTCTTCATTTCTATTCACAATTACTTGCTACCTGCAGAAGAACCTATAGTAGTTTGCTTTTGACCAAACTTTGTTATATCACATATATTCCACCTAGCATTTATTCACATTTGGGCTCCATTCTACACCTTGCTTCCTTTATGCCAACGCAAATGTTATGTTCATGCTGCCTGTTCCATATGTCATCCTGTTTTCTACCTAGAAGAAAGACTAGATAATTTTTACTTTGGGATTTTTTATACTAAGTTTAATATGAGCCAGTGATTAAGGGGGAAAAATGAAATTTTGAACATAAGGAATGCTTGAAAAGTCTGGGATGTTTAGCTACAATAAGGTAGCTGGAAAGATTTCAAAACAAAATTAATTCAGTAGATATTTATGAAGTTTCTGCTGGTATTTTGAGTACAGTCTATGGAAAATGCTGTACTAGACACCTAGAGAGAACACTCTGGAGAGATACAGATGGTGATCTATTTGTTTTTAAAAGACTATTTTTTGGTAAAGGCAGTAGTAATTGAAGAAGTAGCACCCACAGGTAGATCATGAGAACTACATTTTCATTTATTAAGAGAAAAATATTCACACAGCAATATGTGTTTGGTAGAGCAAGTGTTGTAAATATTGTTATTGATGGGGAAACAAAATTTGAAAGTTACGTGAACTCTTTGAGATCATATTATTTCTAGGTGATCCTATAATAATAGGCAGCCTTTCTGTGAAAATAATGATGGTAGACTAACCATAATATAGTAATTAGAACATTAAAATATTTAGTCCATTCACTGAAACTTAATAAGTGACTGAATATTTTTGTTGTCTTTTTTTTGGTAGCTGTTGTATTTGTTGTTGACAGCAGTCACAGAGACAGAGTTAGTGAAGCACACAGTGAACTTGCAAAGTTGTTAACGGAAAAAGAACTCCGAGATGCTTTGCTCCTGATTTTTGCTAACAAACAGGTAACACGTTTCAGAATACTTATTTTAGCATTCCACATGAGGTAGCTGTTACTATTTCAAGAGAAATAATTCAGTAGATATTTATAAATTTTCTGCTCTTTATTTTGAGTACAATCTATATGGAAGGTGCTATACTTGGTACCTTGGAGTTTAAACAAAAAGAAATAAGGTAGTTGATGTCCATCAGAAACTTTTATGTACATAAGTAAGCCTGTTAAGTGTATTATTTCTAATACAAAGAAAACTGGTAACTTCAGTAATATTAACAAAGTATGGTGGGAAATTAGAGAGTAGTTCTAAAGGTGGAATTCTAAGATTTATAAAAAATTTGAATTGAAATTATGATGAGTTGAAATTAGGGGTAAGACTTTGAGTCAATATGTGAAGGAAGGAACACTGCAGGCAGAAAAAATAAAAGCATGAGTATTTTTAGGGAGCATCAAGCAGATCTGTATGTGGGGGAGTAGGCAGAGGATGAAAAAATCTAAGAGTAACAGATGACGCCATGTCGAAAAGGCCTGACAGGGTCTGACTGAGAAATTTAGGTTTTATTCTGTGAGCAAAGAACCATCAAAAGGTTTTTGGGCTAGTTGGTGATAAGATCATATCAGTGTTTTAAGATTGTAATCCTGGGGGTATGATGTAGAATTCATGAGGGTCAAGGGAGTGGAGACAGGCAGATGGAGTAAATTGCTGCAGTAATTCAAGTGAGAGTTAACAAATTCCTGAATTAGAGGAATAGAAGGGTAGAAGCAGATTGAAGAGACTTTTTCATTGAGATAGAATTGTTAGAATTTGGTGCCTGAATGGGGAGGATGAACAGGAAGTAGCTGGGTTGCTAGATCTTGAGCCTAAACTTCTGGGATGAGGAGAATGCTTTTCTTTAGTGTAGTAAGGGGGGCTTAGATATCATAAGAAGGAAGAATAGGATGAACAGTAAAAAAAAAGAGGCAAACTATTAAGAGCTGATATACTTTATTTATGATTAAAAACATGCAAATAAGGCAAAGTGAAATACCATTTTCCACTTACCGTAATTGTTAAAGACAAAATGTTTGATAATCCTCAGACTTGCATATACTGTTGGTGTATTAAACTGAAACATTTTCTTGGAGGACAATATAATACTTGTCAAAGTTTTAGATGTGCATGCACTTTACCCTGTATTTCTATCTCTAGTAATGTATCCTGCAGGCAAATATCCTAAGGTTATTCTAGGGACAATTTTGCAAATGTACGTATGTAAAAAATATATACGTTTGCATCTATTTGTATGTATTTGTAATAGCACAGAAGCACATGACTTCAACCTACATATACAGTATAGGACTGGTTAAGAAAAGTGTGTTCCAACTAGTTGGCCATATAGCAGTTGCACTGTGCAATATTACAATAAGGACTGGGAAAATTTTAATGGATGTAAAGTCTATTACGGTTTGGGATAGTATTTCTCTCTAGTTCTCAGTGATTTAAATGTGACCAAGCCTTCTGTACTTTGTCACAAAAAGCGGGTTTTCCAGGTGTCTATTTTGGTGTGTCAAAATAAGAATTTATGGTGTATTACTGTCAATTCACTTTGAATTAAAATATATATATTGCAGCAAAAAAAAAAAAGAAAACTATATTCCACCTACACAGTGGAATGCAACTCAGATGTTAAAAATAATGTGGAAAATCTGCTTGTCCTGATAATGGAAAGATACCTATATCTTCAAGATGTGTATTAACTAAAAAAAAAAAAAGACTAGAGTATGTTCCTACTTATTTTGCATGAATGTGCATGAAAGTTTTCTGGAAAAATATGAAATAAATTGTTACTGATGCTTGCTTCTGGGAAGAAGTAGGTATTCAGTAGTGTTAGGAGTGAGAATTTAATAAACTCTTCTTATATAAACCCTATATAAAAGCCATTTTTTTAATGATATACATGTGTTAATTTCTTTTTAAGTTGATGCCTTATAATTACCTAGGCAGTTTCGTTCATTTAGGGGGCATGGCCTTTACTGATTTCATTGTGAGGCTCTTCTTACAAACTATATTATAACCAAAACTCTTAATTTTTTTCTATTCTCATTAATCTCAGGATAATTACTGAACGGTGAATTTAGGTTTTAACTTTAGGCTTTTGTTAGAATGGTACCAACAGAATTCTAGATAGCAATAATTACAAAAATGATAATTTTGATGGGCTGATTAAAAATAAAATTCTGATGTGTATATATCTTTCAGGATGTTGCTGGAGCTCTGTCAGTAGAAGAAATCACAGAACTTCTTAGTCTGCATAAGTTGTGCTGTGGACGAAGCTGGTACATTCAGGGCTGTGATGCTCGAAGTGGTATGGGACTGTATGAAGGGTTGGACTGGCTCTCACGGCAACTTGTGGCTGCTGGAGTATTGGATGTTGCCTGATTTTAAACGCAGCAGCTGTTTACAGTTTTGTGATTAAGAGTTATTTTGCACACAGTATGTTGTAATAAATTCTGTATCTCAAAGATAATTAGTTAACTTAGGATGTGTATATAAAAGGACTCTTGGATTGGAAATTCAGTACAATATTGCTTCTAAAATATTCTGTAGTGAACTGTATCTGATTGAGTAGATTAAATTGGATTAAATAGGAATTCACTGAGTATACTTTTTTGAGACATAATTTGTTATTTAAAATTTTCAGATTATATGTGACCCATATATTGGGAAAGAAGTAATCACAGAGAAAGGGTAGGTGAAGGTTTATTCTTTCAATGAAAAAAGACTATCTAACTGAGTGCCTAATGGAACCTCTGTATGAAGCAAGCGAAGCATGGCTTCTTCTTTAACTTGCCTTTTCACTGGGTTTGGCAGTATTAATTTAGTGACAGTGACTTAATGAAATAAAATCCAAACTGCATCTTTGGGTAATAGGATTAATTTAATGTTCAGTATAACAGAACACCTTTAATGCTAAGAACTATAAGCTATTGAAAATTAGTATTTTATACAGTGTTTTACTAAAAGTTTCTTGTAAAACCTTTTGTATAAAACTCAGTGAGTCAGAATGAAATGTTACCTAACTAGGCCTGTCAGATTAGTACTACACTGAAGAACAATTCATAACAGAACTGTGAACGTCAGTTATATACTAGTTGATCTTCACTTATGAAAGACTCATTTGTAGGGCTGAGCCTGGATGTAATAATTTCCTAGGTCAGACCTCTAAATTGGCCCTTATATTTTTCCAACATATTTAAAGTACTTAGTGTGTTTCTTTTTAACATAATATTGCATCTTTAGTGAGAGTGGCTACAGGTAAAATGTAGTAAGTTACACATAGAAACCTGAGTTGGTTTTGCATAAAAGGTAGAGATCTAAGTAGCAAACTGCCTTTACCTCAAGAGAAGTCATTTAAGCAGTGGAGACTGCTTATTACCTTACTTTAAAATGTTTTCCCAAAATAAGTGCATTTATCTTGACAATAAAACATGATCAAGGCTTTTCATGACAAGGCCTTGGAAAGTTGTTTGAGAGAGAGAACGTGTAGAGGAAGGAAAAGAAATGTTCAAAAAGTTTATACCACATTTATTATGCAGTGTTCGAAGTAAAAGTTTAAAACTTGTGCTCTTTACTGTTTTTCATTTTTTAAGGAAACTCCCTTATTATGGCAGTACAATTTATATTTAAACATAGCCAGATTGGATTTTATGGGTTTTTAAAAAATGCTCTTTATATTTTAGGATGAAGTTGAATCCTAAATCTTATTATTTGAATTCCTATAAGGACATTGATGTCTGATGACAAGATGACTTTTTGGTGGCACTGTTCTAGTTCAGTCTCTTCAAATGTATTTTTGTTTAAAACAAAACTTTGAGAAAACAATGCATTAAAAAAAGTCCATCAGTGTTATGGGCAGTGTGTAAATATGTAAATATAATATTTCATCCTTTATTTTTCAAGTAAAAGGTCATGCCATTACACATGTAGCTTGTGCATATAAGTCATTCTTCTGAATTAGTATTTGATTGCAATAACTGTGAAAAATTTAAAACATGTTACATTTACCTTGAGCCCTTGAACTGTTTTCTCTACTAGGTAACTGAAAAAAAAGTCTGACACTAACATGTAAACTTGCTTTCCTTGTAAATTATTTCACCAATTTAGCTAAACATTTAAATTCACGTTCCTAGCATATTGTTAAAACATAATTTAAAAATTGCTTAGAAGTGATTATAATGTACATAACAGTAGTGTTTGCGTGTGATTTTTTTTTTTAAGAAATATTTTTCTCAGGTTCTTATTACTATTTGTGGTTGTATTTTTTCACTAATTATTAGTTAAGATTGTGTTAGTTCCCTCTGGGAAATGTCAAATTTAAGAATAAGAGAAAGGTTTTAAATACAGCCTATTAGGATTTGTCTCCTAGCTCTGAATTTCTGTATTAAGCCTTAATAGTATTGTATGGTTTATGAAAGCAGGCTTTTTTAAGTGTATAGCCCTGGTCTGTAATTCTGGAATGCTTTATAATCACCAGAAGCCATTATTTGCATTACATATATGATCAGTATAGACAGCAATAAAATATTGAAATTATTTTAAAGTCCTATCATTATTCTAAAAATTCTGTTTCTTGAACTGTTTATCTAGTACTATTGCTAGTAACCAGTTAGTCATATTTCTGCTGCAGTTAAGAAAACCAGTAAGACAAAAAGGGGAAGGGATTGACTTGCATGTCCAATTTGAGATGCAGTTTATTAAAAATTTAGAAATAACTTACTATTTGCAATTTAGGTCCCATTACATGTTTTATAAATGTAGTGTTTTGAAAGGAGAGCTAAAATTTTGCACTGAACAAAGTAAAACTTGCTTTTTAAATTTAACCTTGTTTCATGCTGCATTTTAAGTAACTGTTTTGAGAAAATGGCTTGGAAAACTTAGCTATATCCTATAGGCTAATAATGCTAAAAAAAAAAAACAAACTTTTTATGTAACATTGAGATACTTCTCAATTTTCAAAGTGGTAATGAGGAAGACAGCTGTGCTTTTCCCTAAAAGAATAATGAATGAAAAGGACTAATGAGTATAAGTATCAGATGTTATTTGCTAATAATTTAAAACACAATTAAAAAAAGACATCTGGCAGTGTATGCTTTTAGGTCTACTGATTAAATCTGTGATATAGAATAGAAAAATTCATTAATCAAAGTATTTTGGGGAGAATGAGGCATTACCACCACCACTTGGTGGCAGTATTACCAAAAATTTAGGATTTAGCGTTTAGGAATGATTAAGTTGCTAGGTAGGTAGGTCAAAACACCTAAAATTAGGGAGAAAAGGCAAATGTCATAGTGAAAATCATCTTGTGTCCAAATTTTAGTTCTACTTTTTAAAAGGAGGACACAATATTAATTTAAAGTAGAACAGTTTTGCATATTCTTCTGTATCACAGTTTGTGGTACAAAGTGGGTAAAGGAAATAATATTACTGATCAATAGAAAAGTCTAAGTTTACATTTACAGCATAAGGATGCGAAGTCTATTGAACATGTTCCTCCTAAATGTTCTTAAGAGTCTGGAAAGGAGAAGCAGTGGTTCTGAATAGCTACAAAGTAATTTATAAGGGTAAGTAAAGAAGAAATGATATCAATGTAAGATTGGACTCATTGTTTTATTGCTCAAATTTCTACTAATCTATTATTAGATAATATTTTTACTCAATATATACTTTCTTGACTACATTTAGTAAGGTAAGAAAAGATATACTATAACTTGGAGACAAAAATTGTTTAGCTACATTAGAAAAATGATGTGAAAACAGTAAATGAATCAGTATATAAAACCAAGGACTCAGGTATTCATTTATTCTGATTCTTATATTTGAAAGAATATTCCACAATTATTAAGGAATTTAACACTTCTGACTAAAGGTACTTCCTATTTATTTATTGAAGTTTTACTCCCACTACTTACTACTTAACTAATCAAAAAACAAAATTATTTGGCATGACACACAAACCTTGTAAGAGAAAGGATATAGTATATTACTATCAGATCCTGGTATGCTTTTTTAGTGGATCTAAAGAAGCATATGAGGGCATATTTCTAAAAAGCTAAGGAACAAATACATAACCATTCTTATCACTTAATATGGTTTTAAGTCTCATGAGAAATACATGTAAAGAGTGCTGTGTCTCAGTTTTAGTCCATTTCAATTAATCACCTCCTAGGATGAGAAATACTGCAAGAAAACTCAAAGGCAGAGTTTTTTTTTTTTTTAAATAGCCTTTAATGAAAAATACAATACTGAATCCTTGAAACATGATTTGTATATTCAGCAAATCTTAAGGGCTTCTTCGTGTAAAATAATCCTATATTTAATATATGTGTATTTTTATTTACACATACAATGAGACAAATCTTATCTTACTTGACAGTAATATTTATGATGCTGACATCCTCATAGGGCTTATCTGTTTTGGGATTGACTTTGACGTTGGAGATCCTTTGTACAACTTCCATTCCTTTAGTCACTCGTCCAAATACTGTGTGCTTATTATCAAGCCAAGGCTGTGTTGGAGGACAAATGGAAAATCTTGGTAAGCCCAGATTTCTTTAAACACACCCTCTGAGCAAATTAAAGAGAATTTATACTTTGGCTTTGCTTTTTAAATATAACCTAAAAGATATACTTCCACTTAGCATCTTTTAAGAGTGATTTCCATGTTTATATGACAAAATATAAAAGCAAAGTATAATGTCTAACTAAATATCTGCATCTTTCAGATCAAAGGGAGTTGGAAGATGTTTGCTAAAGTTTCTTCACATGGTTTAAAGAATTATGGGTAAGGCTTTAAAAGTTCTCTGCAGGAATCCTACCTGCACAGTTAAGAGGCAGTAAGGAATAGTTTATGCAGCATGTTCTTTGGCATCAGACAGATGGGAGCTCAGACACTGGCTCTGCTACTTACTTGATCTTTGAAAAGTTAATCATGTCTCATTGTTTCTTCATGTAATTTTTTAAAACTGGGTATACTGATATTAGAACTACTGTGAATATTACATGACACCATGTGCCTGGCAGATAGTAGTTACAAATATTTTCCCTTCATTGCTTGGTGCTTAATTCCAAAAATAAAATATAATTTTTATAATTTGGTGGAACTGCATAGTGATGGGGAGCTAGATATTCTTACATTGTATTTCATCAAATCTACAATGTCATTGATTATGGGTTCCACTCTGATTTCAGAGATAGAAAAATGTGGAAAAAAAGTGTTAATATCAGGAATTCTTGTACTCTAATCCTCCCATTCTAAAGATGAGGAAACAAGCCCAGAGGTAAAATAATTAGTAGTGGCAAAGTTCGCTTAAACTCAAGTGTCCTGAATTACAAAATGATTGTTATACAAAGTTAAATCTGATTTGTTAGGTAATTTTAATTTTTTTCTAAATTGTTTCCATTTTTATATTTTGGCAGATACAAATAATGGTAGAGAATAAAGCAGCTCTCTCTTCACTGAATTCACTCTCTCAGATCATAACCTATAAATCTTCAGCTTATAGCAATGCTGTTCTACTTACCGTTGGTACTACTGTTATGAAAAACTGGGATCCATTAGTGTTTGATCCAGCATTGGCCATGCTGAGTGTATATGGTCTGTCATGTCGCAATGTTGAATGAAATTCATCTTCAAATTCTCCTCCCCATATGCTTTCTCCTCCCATACCAGTACCTGTTGGATCTCCTGTCTGAATCATGAAGCCCTAACAGAAAGTAGACAAAACTGTATTATACATATTACATATACGTATGCTTTGGAGTCTGTTTGTCAAGTGTTTTGCAGTCAGTGAAATCTTAACTTTATTAAGTCATCCTATAAAGTGATTAAACCCATAGTTATATTTTAATTTGGGTAATGTATTTCCATTGCTTAACTAGTACACTACTTCAGTGACTGAAACAAAAATGCAGAGGTCTTTCCATTTATAAACATGTAGTATCTTGCTCATCTAGTTAAAGCCAATTATTAGTGTAAATGAGTTTTAGGATATTGTATACCATGTTAGGTCTTACATAACTACCCCACTCTTCTATCCTCCCTTTCCCTACTCTGGATTTCCTAGTGAGTAATTTCACCACTTCCTTCAGAACCCTGAAAGCTGATTTTTACTTCCAACATTTTTCCTGCCATTTCTGACCTGCAAGTAACCAAGAACTACATCACTGCCCCATCCATTTTACGGAATGCTGCTCAGCAAAATCCTAGGCTGAGTTCATTCTGCTCTTTAGGTATTAACGGTAGTTTTCACAGATAAAATGGCAAGATGGCTCTTCTATTATTTAATCTTATCTTCTAGATCTAGACCTTATCTAACCACTAGGAACATGTTACCCTGGCTATAGGTTTTATCTTAGCAAGACACTTTACTCATTATCTGACCCTTTGATTTAGCTGCTGACAAAAATATTGCTGCATTGTTTCTAAAAAGGTAACCATGCTACTATCCCTATATCCTTGATTCTGGATCTGATATTCATGACCATCCATTTTTCTTTGGGCTTCGATAGTCCGTTTCTTCTATTCCTTTCTAATAAACTCCTAAGTGGGAGAGAATAAGATTCTTTACATTTAAACCTCTTGTTATGTAATAACATACTATTCCTTAAATCATATAAAATTTGTATAACTTACCTTAATTATACGGTGAAATGTATGCCCATTATAATAACCATTTCTGCTGTGAACACAGAAGTTTTCCACTGTCTTAGGGCACCTAGTAAGAAATATATTAAAAATGTGAAATCTATTGGCAGCATCTTAGGACAGTTTCCTTTGTAGTTTGGCTTCCTAATGGGTGTTTGCAGTATCTTTTGAATGCTTCAGAAGGACAGGCTGTTTTTCGTAATTTCTGATTTCAGGACAACCAAGAGTTGGAAGGGCATACAGGCAGTAGCAGTAGCAGATTCTTATAGTTTAACATTTTATCTTTAGATATGATTGCTTTTTACAGTTGAGTTTTACAGTATTTAGATTCCAAAGTCATTCTGCAGTTAAAAAAACATAATCATAGCACTATATGTATATAGTTAACTGCACATAGTGGGGTTAAGTTCCTGGGAAAGGTAATTTTCTTAACAATGTCATAGTATGGTGACATATTCCTGACCAAGGACTTATTCACTGAAATGACAGCTTCTAAATTTAACAAACTTTAAATGACAGTCACACACTCACACACACTCAGAGTATGAAGTTTCTAAATAATATTAACTAATCTCATAAGATGATTTAATATAGTACATTATCATGTCGTAACTCCTAAAGCTAGGAATGGCAGACAGATTCAAAAGAATCTTGCACCAAACACATTAGGGAATAGGCTTAATGGATGCATGGGTTCTGAACACTTAAAAATGAGATGGTCCAGGAGTCTAGAACTGCCTAGTTTTTGGTTCAGTACCAAGGTACGGTTTGGATATAAAACATTCATGTCCAAAATAAATAAATGCTTTCAAGTCAAGGTGTTGTAAAAGATGTCCTCTTTCAGATCAAGAACAACCAGTGATATTGTACTGTATTTGGTATTGCATATTCACTTTGCA